TATACATTTAAGTCTACTTTATACTTACTTAACTATACCCACTCATTTTTTTAAACTAACAAACAATTAATACACATTTTAATTATATTATCGCGGTGCACATTCACTCTCTAAATTACTAAACACTTCATACATGTTTTGGCCCTATTTTGATCAATTTTTTTTTGTTTTGTTATATAATAAACATTTGAACGCATAAATTTAGAGAGCCCATAAGAGATACTCTAAACCATTAATTTGGATAAAAAAAAACAAACAAATTAACAAAATGTAAAGAAATATCTTTTGGTATTTTATTCAACAACACATTCACAGAACTTACACAGTATTTATAGAGAGATTACACTTCAACTAAGTATGGTTATATTTTAACTAGAGTTCTAACAACTTTACTACTGATATAGTTATTCTAATTGTCTAACTAACTCGGCAGTTATAACTTTAAGCCTTAGTAGGGGAAGCCATGCACTGCACTCTTGGTTTTGACTGTGGCATTGGCTGGAATTGCACTACTGTGGACTGAGCATTCATTTGTAGAGATTGAGCTTGATCTTTAGAAGATTGAGCTTGATCAGTAGGAGCTTGAAGGTATTCATGAGCTTGAGTACCAATGGTCTTATCATTCCCTGTCAAGCTGATAGGAGAAGCATGAGCTAGAAGCTTGTTTTGAAGAAATTGAAAACGAGATATAGAAAGGGGTTTAGTAAGAATATCAGCAAGTTGGTCTGCAGTAGGAATGTTTGATAACCAATTGATTTGAAGCCACATGCTCACGAACATAATGATAATCCACTTCGATGTGCTTCGTACGAGCATGAAAACAAGATTAGTAGATAAAGCAATAGCAGAAAAATTGTCACACCATAAGGTAGGTGGAACAAAAGGAACATGAAGATCTTTGAGAAGCATGCCAAGCCAACTAAGTTCAGCCAAGGTTTGAGCAAGAGCTCTATATTAGTCTCAGTAGAAGACCGAGAAACAATGGGTTGCTTTTTAGCAGACCAAGAAATCAAGTTTGGTTTGAGAAAAATGTGAGAACCCGAATATACAAATAAAATAAATAATTATTTTACAAACCTCAAATATTTTACTTATGAGTCTTAAGATGCAAATTAAATATTATTGAACGATATTTTAATTAATTTTAAACCTAAAATAAATTTATGGTGAAAGTATTTAACTTAGAGGGAAGATTTATTATTTAAAAAAAAAATAGGGGACAAATTAGTTAGTATATTTTGATCTAATCATAGTTGTATTTTATTTAAATTAATGGAGAGAGAAAATAAAATAAAACAAAAGATAATAATTTAGAGTCTTTTGTTTAGATATATATATATATATATATATAGGAACCCTAGGTTGCCGAATACAATATATAGCAGCAACAGCCACGAGAGAGAGAGAGGTTGAGAGAAAAGAAGAAAAAAAAAAAAAGGTTGCAAACAAGGAAGGATTTTTGGGTGTGTAGTAGGTCTCTATCTTTCTTCTTCCTTTTGTTGTTGTTCTTTGTCCTTATTCTATTATATTTAATTCATTGATGGAGAGATTATAGGTGTATGTATTTTGTATATATATACATAGTATACTGTTAAGAAATATAAGAAGCCAAGCTCATATGTAAAGAATGGGTATGATTCTTAATCCAAAAATTCTGTACAAAACCGCAAACTTTAGAAATTTAGAAACCATATTAAATGAATGAATTTTAAGCTAATATTTTTATAGTAATCTAATTAGATATTAATTTCATACCAGAATTTTCTTATATTCTTTGGGAGCCGAAATCTATATAAACCGATGCGTTCAAATCTATCCAGAAAACTAGTATAAAACAGTAAATTTGGAAGTATCATTCTCTTTGGGTATAAATTCAAAAATTATCAAATCAGTGCAATTAGAACCGGTTATGGGTTTAATTTCTTACATTTTTGGCCTTGTGTTGATTGCTTGTGTTCATTAAGAGAACCGTTGATTTCTTTAAAGTGCTGTAGAAAGTGATCTGTTTGGATATAATTAATTGTAAATAATTATTTTGATAAGAAAATTATGTAAAACCAATTGGGTTTGAAATGTAAGATATATTAGTTGATATTTGGAGGGCTTTGAAATTTTTCTAGCAGCATGGAGTGGGTTTTTAATTTTCAAATTTAGCAAATGGATTGAGAAAAGTAGTTTAAAATTCTATTTTATTTTGAAGTTACTTTTAATTAAGTTTCGATCTAAACCCATGTCTTGGGTAATTTTAGATCTTGAAGAACATGAGCTTAGTTATTATTTAATAGTAACAATGAGTTGGGTTGAGCCGTGCTAATGTGATTTAGCTTGGGGTTACTTAGTTTCTTAATCTTTTTAGTATTTTTGAGTTACTAATGACATGTAGTTTTCATATTTGGTGCAGGGCATTAGTTGGACTTTCCTATTCAGTTTGAGGATTATATTATACCGTGTTCAAGTAAGTAGTTGCATGCTACACATTTTTATAAATGTTCTCCTACCCTAAACTGTTGGAAAATTAAATTGTTGTTTCAGGACTAAACAGTTTTGATAAATTATTATATTATCAATGGAATTAAAATTTCTGAAATATGTGTGAACTTGGCATACTGTAAACTATTTGCTATGGTCTTATGTTTATAATGGTGAACTACCATGTTTTACGAAATTGTATTGATTATTGGGACCATTTGTATATAAAAGTCCAGGGAAATTAGTCCACTGTGTGTGGTGACTCTATCCACTAGGGAACAGATTTGGGTTGGGCTGTGATGACTCTAGTACTCAACAATTGTAAGGAAAAGACCTAGGCTAGGCTAGGTGACCTTCAATCGGATCGTCTCAGAGAAAATGCCCGGGTTGCCACCTCAAGGATGACTCTTGGATCAATATTGGATCCAACGAGCTTATTGCCTTGAGAACTTTGTGGCGTGTTACTTGTTATTCTCGGTACCCAGAAAATTATGGATGATCATGTTGTAATCTGTTTTAAGTGGAGGATGTCATTTGTTATGTTCTTGAGAGACATGCGTATTTTAACTGTTGTACTGTGAAACATTCTTTTTAAAACAAAATGTCTTTATCAAAACTGTATGTCAATTTAGTTTCTGTGATATATATCTTATTTTGGAATTGAATCATGTTTTCAAAATTGTATTTACTATCTATGCTACTACTTACTGAGCTATCAACTGATAGTTTTTTATCATTTCCAGGTGATAGAATGACTTGAAGTGGACTCACGGCGTAGCGGGGACTCAATTGCATGGAACTCTAGGACATTCATTTATTTTATTTTAGCTTGTTGTGTCGGTTTTGTGCATACATTGTGGTTGGGTTTTATTTAGAATTATTTTATTTTGTGGGTGATTTGTGTTTAGTATATATTTTTAGAAGTTAGTTACGACTGGTTTTACCATTTATACTTGTAACATATCACCGGGTTGAGTTTTGGTTTATTTTAATTGAACTATTGTTACGTTTATTTGATGTGATTATGGATTCGTGTTTAGGCTTACGTGTGCCTTGGGCTAAGGCCCTGTGGGCCACGACCGGTCATGCCTGGGTTTGGGGTGTGATAGATCTTTTCTCAGATACTACTCTCTATCGCCAACTAGTAGGTAACCTTGTCTATCTCATTGTGACTCGTCCTAACATCGCTTATGATGTACATCTTGCTAGTCAGTACATGTCGGTTTCTCGTACCCCTCATTACATTGCTTTACTTCGCATACTTCCCTACCTAAAAGGCACCATGTTTCATGGACTCCATTATTTTGCTCACTCCTCTTTTAAGCTTCGTGCCGTTTCTGATGCTAATTGGGCTGGGTATCCCACTGATTGACGCTCCACTACGGGTTTCTGTTTCTTCTTAGGAGATTCACTTCTTGTTTGGCCCAACAAAAAACAATCTCTCATTGCTTGTTCTAGACTGAAGATGAATATCGTGCTCTTGCTGACACTACTCAGGAACTTCTGTGGCTTTGTTGGCTTCTTGCTGACATGGGTGTTTCCTTCTCTAGTGCTACCTCTCTTTATTGTGACAATCAGAGTGCCATTCATATTGCTCATAATGATGTCTTCCATGATTGCACCAAACATATTAAGATTGACTGCCATTTTATTCGACAACATGTTACTCGTGGCATTATCCATCTTTTTTTTGTTTCTTCTGCTGATCAACCTGCTGCTATCTTCACCAAGGTTCATCCTTCTGGCCATTTCAATGACTTGGTTTCCAAACTTAATTGGTTGATGTTTATCCTTCTTGAGTTTGAGGGAGGATGTTGATATATATTGTATATATTAGCATATATATATGGTATATATTTAGGTATATATTTAGGCTATAATGTAGGTATATATATTAGGGATTGATTCCTTGTATAGCTACCTTCCATACTTGATTGTAATACTATCTTATATATAGGAGTTCTTGTACCTTGATTCAATATACAATTGATACATATTTCTCCCAACCATTCTAATAGGGAGAAAAAGGTTTCTGATTTGTTGGAGAATTTCAATTGGTTAATTGTGTTCTGAAGCTACGAATGAATTCACTTTTAGTCCCCAAATCAATCAGCTCATCGACGAGTTGAGAAAAAGCTTTTCCATTTTATGTTCACTTGGCTACCAAGTTTAATGAGCTTCAAAAGAAAAATTATGAGCTTTGTGACTGAACAGAATCGCAGTGTTTTGTGTACTTCATGGCATATAGATCATACCAATCTGGCTATTGTCTCTTCCATGCCTAATCTGAGAAATTCATCGATAGCATAGTGTATTAACCTTTTGACAGAGACCATGGATAACCTTATAAATAAATTCATCACTTTGTTTAAAACTGATAGTCATTGTACTTTGTTCTAATCCATAATTCAAACATAATGTTTATTTCTTATTCGCCTTTTGGTCTTTTAGACTACACAATAATCGGTGAATGTGATGATTCAACTCATTTGCTAGAGATATGAGAGTGTAAATCGAAGAAAATTCTAATATGACAAAAATCAGAATACTTGAATACATTAAAAGAAAATACAAAAACCATACAAGGCATCACTCGACATTGTAAACTAATCAAATTTAGTCTGTGGTAAGTTGAAAGCACTCAAACTAGTACTAGAAAGATTGTTCATGATTCATACAAGAGAATGGTTGGTTTGAGGCGTTGTTAGAGGACATGAGCAACTGGTGGAACTAGTGGTTTGAGGTTGGTTTGGGTTGGAGTCAATTCTAGCTCTAGATTTAGGATATTTGAGTGAATTGGCCATCCCAGATCGAAAAGATTCACTTCTACACCAACGAAAAGCCTCCCCAATTTTCCGGAGTAAGTACTTCGAAGAAGTCCTCATAAGTGATAAATATAGAGGCAAGTAGGTAAGAGCAAAGACAGATACCGGGAGGAATGCAACTAAGTACAAGGCTAATTTTGTCCACCGTTCCTTATTGTGAATCATTAGGATAACTGTTGCACCAAAAGCCAACATCATCATCGACACAGAAAGGATCAATAAAGTAATTCCTAACATTAGTTTCTGAGGAAGAGAGCATTTGAAGTCTTTAAATCGAAATGGTGACGTGAGGATGGAGAGAAACACGATGACTGATGTCAAAGCAAGCGTGAGGGAGAGAACGTCTGTCATGGTGAAGACAACAAAGAAAGGTTGGTCTAGAAGAATTGGATAACCGGTGGTCTGACTAGGACCACCTGGTATTGTGTAGGCTGCAGCAAAGGCAACAGTGGCAATTAGGACAGCAACGATGGAGCAATTTTCAGCAGTGCGCTTTAGCCAATCTATGGCTTCCTTATGAAGTAGAGCATTGTTAGAAACAAATAGCTGTTTAGCAGTCTGTCTATCATTGTTGAAGTGCTTCGTGAAAAGGGTTGCATATATCTTATTGAGACGCTGCAATGCACAAGAAATCACATAGAAAAGTCCGTTTCAATAGAAAAGCAAGTCCAAATCCTTAAAACTTCAATTTTTAGTCCATTTACCATAGATTATAACTTAACACATTATGACTTATACCTGTGAACATAAGCTGTTAACCTGTTTGGTGCAGCTGTGGGATTATGAATTTAATATTAACCTGTTTGGTGCAGCTGTGGGATTATAAATTTAAGCAGAGTAATGTTTGGTTAATAAGCTATAAAATAGTTTTTTACTGTATAATTGTCCTTTCTACCCTTCTATGATATAAAAATGATTATTTTGTCATTCTTTTCAGTTTTAATTTAAAAAAAAATATTTCATTAATAAAAGTTAATATAAGTAGTATTAATTAGTATCAATTAATATAAAAATTGATATATTTGCTAAAAATGTAATTGAAGTGTTATTGTCACAATTATTTTCCATTATAAATTAATTAATATCAATTAATTGCTTAATTAGTATCAATTAATACTAAAATTATTAATTAGTATCAATTAATGGCTTAATTAGTCTCAATTAATATTAAAATTATTAATTAGTATAAATTAATATTAATATTTAATTTTTATTAGTATCAATTAATATTAATAATCAACAATTGTTATTAATTAGTATCAATTAATAATTAATTCATTACAAAAGTATACAATATTAATTTATTAATAATTAATACCAATTAATATCGATTTTTTTCTTTTTCTTCAGAAATATACAATTTTTTATTTTTTAATTAATATAAAAATATACAATATGAATTTATTAATAATTAATACCAATTAATATTTATTTTTCAATTAATATTGATTTTTTTCTTTTTCTTTTTCTTCAGAAATATAAATTTTTTTATTTTTTAATTAATATTAATTAATAATATTAATATTTGGGTATTGACGAGGGCATTTAAGTAATTTTAGCCCCCCAACACCAACTGCGCGCTTAAGTAAAAAATTTAAGCACCCCTGACCAGCTTTTGAGATAAGCTAAGAAATAGCTTGATTTAAGCTATAAGCTAGTTAACTTAAGCTGCACCAAACACAATATTTTAACTTAAATTAAGTTAAAAGTTGAAATAAGCAGTTTATAAACCCTACCAAATAGGCCTACTATCACTTTAAAACACACTGATGAAGGTGCTTCAAGCTTTTGGACCATGGCCTCGAGCCTATGAAGCACAGACACCTCTCTAGAGGTGATAAACCGTGTCCAACATGGACATGTGCCAGACAAGCTAGGGATACGTTCCATTTTTATTTTTTATTTTTTCACTGGAATAGTATACCTAATGCTGATGAATTTGATGCAAATTTGTGTGTCCATGTTGCGTCCGCCGTGCTTCTTAGCCTCTAGCATTATAGGACTAAAAATGATGATGGCCTTTGATCTGCCGGCTTAAAGCTTATGCACTGCCAATGCTTGTGTGCAAGGAAAAGAGTGTGTTGTGCATGTTAAAATCAGGGAACGATGTTATGGAAGTGTACCTCAAACAAAAGCAAATCCTCTTGAAGTACCAGGGCAGGGCTTCGCATTTTTTCATCTTTGTAACCATCTGGTCTTAATGCAACCGTGTGCAGTACGGAGTTCCCATTGTTGTCGATCTTTTGTATAAGCCTCATCATTGAGATTTCCATTTTTTTCTCCAAAAAGTCAAATATATGTATTTGGCGGTACTTGATGGCTATATGTAAAATATTACGCCCGTGGTGATCAATATGCTCAGCTGCCTGAGGATACTTCTTGAGTATTTGTTCAACAATCTCTATAATACCCAACTTAGTTGCCAAAAACAATGGAGTTTCAGCATTCCCTGTCTTATTACCATGAGTTGTTGAGGCCTGTAGTCCTTCTACATCAGTCGATTGGCCTTGGGAAGCAGACGAGAACTTTCCATATCTGTGGCATTTAGGCTTACACTGGTTGATTGCAGAGAGGGTGACGTGCCACGAGGTATCTTTTGCTATTAAGAACTCGGCAAGTTCCAAAGCTGATTCATATTTCTTGTTTTTCTTCCTTATTGCTTCACTTAAGGCCATTCCATAACATGATGAAGCTTTTCAAGAAATGAAATGTTAGTAATATATACAAATGCATAGAGAAACAAACCACTAGAACTATGAAAGTCAGCTTTTTTGTTTTATCATTCACATGATTTCAACATGATAGTTTCTATCTGCAAAGATAATTCAAGATAATAATGAACTTGGTGTCATATAACAATGAGAATGAATGCTTATTCTGTGGACTCAGGGGCGGGTGTCGGGTGCAGGTATGTATCTAAAGGTCGGATTCATCAAACTAAAAATTTAAGGGTACGTGGACTAAGCAAAAGAATGTCATATTTTTATATTTTTAATCAAGTTTGGGAGACAAAATGGTGCTATATGTAATTACAGTGTCAAAAACACATTTATAGTAATTATACAACAATATGTACATATAGTAATAGTGTTATATACAATTATATAAGAAATATCCATTGAAAAGTATTTGATACATGTCTCATACCCTTGTCCAAGTGTCGGGCATCCGACAAGGGTATTTGATTTATTTTGAAGAGTCCGTGTAATAGAGATTCTTTATATACACTATCTTCATTGATCTCAAGATCTTGCAACAATCTAGCATAGTACCAAAAGCAAAAATGGATAGAATAATTTCCGTACATGGCCCTTTACCTCGTTCTGTCATAGTTGTACCTTCAAGTGAGACACCTGAAAACATGTACACCAATTTTGGTGATATTAAAAAATTAAACAGGACTTGCTGAAGTGGAAATTGAAAGGCGAGTATCGTACAAGAGTGCAAGAGCCGGTGAGTTAGTTTCCTTGCTCTTTTGAAGGCTGATTGATTGCACGCAAGAAGTTGAAGAGGAGTCATCCCATCTCCATCTCTTTCAACAACTAAATGTTTGTACCTTTTTGCAATCGAAAGGGCCAATTCTGTTTCAAATTTCACAGCAAAAGCTGAATTAACAGAAAATAAAACCCTGAAGCAGTAAAAGCAAGAATTATATGCTCGCAAGTTATTCCTGATCTTATTTTAACCAAAAACAAAAAAACAAGAGACCAAACAAACAAAACAAAAAGCAGTAGTGAGAATTAGAAATCAAAAGTTACTCTTGCTCCTTCTAGTACAACAAAGTTGAATTAACCAAAAAAAAAAAACTAAAATTGCAAAGGTAAGAATTACAAGCTCACAAGTTAGTCTTTATCTATTCGTACGACAAAGTTTTTTTTTGGGGTGAATAAATCATAAAATAAAACTAGAAAATATGCAAAACTACAAGGCCATGTTTGTTTGGGTGGACATGAGCTTGGGATTGGACTAATAGTCCAATAAAATTATTAATCCGATGTTTGGTTAAACAATTAAAGTACGGACTAATTATTTTAAACTTGACTATTAGTTAAGATAGGATACATAATCTAACGGATTCGTAATCCTAAAATTATTAGTCATGGGAATACTAATCCAGTCCACCCAAACAAACATGTCCCAAGGGGCATACCCCAGGCCCTACCACAAATGTACAACGCTACCTGAGCAAAACCAAAACTACAAGAAAATTAACACCAAAAAACAAACCACTAAACAAGACTACACAACTACATAATAATAGATAGCAATATACCAAAAAATGTAGTCAATGGCAACAACATATTTGTTCAGGAGCCATGTCCACAGAGGATAGGGGACTTGAACAGCAAAATACCACCAGCACCTATAACAAAACAGTTGGCAGCAGGCGAATCCAGGGGCGATTTAGTACAAACAAAGTTGAAAAAACAAAAAAAACAAAAGAACAAAAAACAAAATTGCCAAGGTAAGAATTACAAGTTCACAACTTATTCTTGGCTTGATCTTATTAGTACAACAAAGTCGAATTAACACAACCAAAAAAATACTGATAAAAACCACAAAAGTAGCTCACAAGTAACTCTTGATCTTATTAGTACAACATTGGAACTACCATAGCATCACACAATTAGTAGATATCTTAACTTTGAAGAACTAGAAGGGCTATATACTATGCTGAAACAAAACAGCATCGGCTAATTAACTGATGTGTGGAAATTTCAAATGAAATATATAACAAGTTTGGACATGGATACCTACCAAAGTGGTCACTGATGATGGACGCATGAAGTATGGTGCTTTTATCATTCCTTTTCAAGAAATAATTTCCAACCTCTTCAGGTCCTTCCCCGACAAAGATTTTATTGATTTCGTTGTCAAGATACTCAAACATTTCAGTCCTGCCATAAGCCGCCGCACGAAATAGAGCAGTCTCTCCATGCTTGTTGCTCATACTCAACAGCTTCGGTTCCATCTCCAATATTTTCCTCGCGACAGTGACGCTTTTTTCAACACCGGCAACCTCGTGGAGTATGGTGTTTCCTATCGATGTCATTTTGGCGGGTCATTTTGTCCAGATGTTGGCTGTCCAACTTTTCCAGTAAATGAAGGACTATGTCTGTTTGTTTAGTGTATGTAGCCATGTGGAGGACTGTGTCATCATGTATGGTTAATATGTGCAATGGTCCATCTGCAAGATCTTCACATTGTTGAATCACTTTGTTCTCTTCCCCACTCATGAGAGCCTTGTACAGATCTGCATTAAGGCTGTGATCTTCATCAGTGGCCGTGACAGCCATGACAGAGAGACAGAAACAGAGAAACAGAGAGAAAAGGCTTCACCATGAACCAGTTTGTACTTCATGTGTATATATAGGAGTGTTAGGATAATATGACCTGATACATACTGGACACTAACCAGTCAATGTCTGACTTAAATTTTGATATTTCAGCACTTGTAACATGTACACCCAAAATGTTGAGTAAGTGTATTTTTATATTTCTCCACTTGTGACCTATAACCTATGAAGTATGGGTACTTCGAAAAATATGTCGTACCTGTACCGGGTACTTACCGGTGTATAGTACTTTGTATGGTACTCCTGCATACATACCGGATACACGAAACACGTACCCAAATTTTTTCTTCTTAATTTTTGGCATACTCAAACGTACATAGAACATGCTCAAGCCGTACCGTACTTCAATCAGAGATAAAATTCCTTTAATTAGATTTCTTTTTTATTTTTAATTTTATGCTTAGCATGATTTTAAAATTAACTTATGGTTTGTAAGTTACTTAATATAATGATATTTAATTTAGGTTTATACCTTTACTTTTGGCATTAAATGTTAATTGTAGATTGGATCTTAACAAATTAAACCATTTAATCAATTTTTGCATTAATCTAAATTACAAATAAATATTTTTTACAAATGTATCAAGACGTACCCGTACCTTACTTTTTTTTGGATTTTACAGTATCGACATACCCGTATTGTATCATGACCAGTACGCGTACCCGCACCCGTACTTCATAGCCTACAACCATAATTATATATGTAGTTGAGGGGAGCGACTATCTCTATGTCTTGTTTGTGACTCTTTCTGATCTTGTGAAAGCGCAACAATCGTAAATGCAATTCTAATTTTGGGCATGGGACACAAATTTTTGAGCAAGTATATATTTTGATATTTCTGTACTTGTGACTTGCAACACTAATTATAAGTGTATGTAATTGAGGGAAGTGACCATATTTATATCTAATTTGTAACTCTTTTGGATCATAGTGAAGCCGCAACAAATGTGAATATAGCTCTAATTCTGGCCATGGGATCCTCCATTTCCAAATCTTCATGTCCCTCTTGTTGGGATCTGGGATCCCGCCCAAGACCTTATAGAAATCATTGCAAGCAGAAAAAACACACCCACACACAAGGAGACACAATATTTTACGTGGTTCGGCCCAATGCCTACGTCCACGGGAGAGTAACCGGTTATCACTATACCAATGAGGAGATTACAGAAAGATTACAATAGAGGAGGAGCTCACACTCTCCTCATTCAGCCACTCACCCGTCTCCCTCGCTCACACCGAGGGAGACGGTCTCTCCGCCTCACATCTCTCGCACTCTTTGGTTCACGGTTTTCTTCCTCACTTACTTACTCACTTTGGCCTCTCCTCTCACCCTCCCTTTATACACATTGGAGTAGGTGGGAGTGCCTTTGGGTAGCCTCCATTCTTGACCCTTGACATGGTTGGTGGCCACCAAGCTTGACTTGGTTGGTTGCCTTCCATTGTTGACCAAGGTGTGTTCCCATGGAAGAGCATCACCTTCTTCACATGGGGTGAATTCAACACCTCTGTCCCAAAATATTCACATCCATTGAATCATGTATTGCATTTACCGCATCTCAAGTTTCTCAATGATTCAGCGATTGTGAGGGACAAGGGGACATAGAGATTTGGGGACACAGGTTCCTTAACTCTAATTTTAGTGTAAACCTTGTAACTCTCGTATTTTTGAGTGTGCGCTCTTGTGATATATAGATCTTGTGTTATTTATTTTTATTTTATTTTTTTCTCACTGATCTTCGTTAGGAGTTCTGTAATTCCGAACAAGGCGTGCATTACATAACAACAATACACATACACAGAAATCAACTAGAATAAATAATTCTTAACATATAGTATAAGATTCCTCATGTTCAGAACTAGTTCCTAATGAAAACTGACTAATCTTTTCATGGTATAAGATTCCTCATTTTATCAAGGTACTTATGCTCTGTTACATAAAATAAAGCTATTTATGCTTTTCTTAATGGAATAACAAAGCTATGGAAGTATAGAAGAATCCCAAAAAGAAAAAAAGAGTGAAAAGAGAGAGAGAGAGAGAGAGAGAGAGATAAAGTTCTCAATAATGCATATGAAACAATTCCAATCAATTTTGATCACTACACTTTAGAAACAGTTTGTTATCGGAATTGATGAATAATATCTTTAAATTAATTTTACAGAATAAAATATATCCAAAAAAAAAAAAGATTTTGAAAAAATAAGATTTACATAGTTTGATTAAGAATTATGCTTCGTAGCTTGAAAAAAATTGGCCCGAAATAGCTCGAATACCCAAAACAATGCAGTTTTGGGTATTTTTTTTTATTATTATTATATTTTTTTCCTTCCCTCCCTTTGCTCTCTGAAACAGATAGAAGACAGAGAGAAGAGGTGAGAGAGAGAGAAGGAAAAGAAAAGATGAAGAGAATGAGGAGGAAGAGAAGAAGGAGAAGGAGAAAAAAAAAGGAGAGGAGGAAAAAAAGAAGGAGAAGGAGAAAAGATGGAGAGAAGGAGGAGGAGGAGAAGAAGAAAAACAGAGAGGGAGAACAGATTTGTATACACACAGATCTATGTGTGTATACACACAGAGGAGACGGTGATAGCGACGCCGGTGGATGGCTCTCTCTCTATATATATATATATATGTTGGGATATACCTCCTTATTGGAGTTTGAGACAAAATTGGTTTTGGTTAAAGAATTTTAATTTGGTTTGGTTTGGGTATAATATATTTTATATATATTATATCTAATTTGTGGAGAATTTGGTTACAATTAGGGTTTGATTACAAAATTCAAAAATATATATAAATATATTGTATTTGTTTTCCGAGGCACATAGTAGCGGCTGCTTTAACAGTTTCGGTGCTTATTTGTTTTGGGTGGAAGCTATAGATTTGAGATGTGCTTGCTGGGTTAATCAATTGGTGAATTCAAAGATTGGTGACATAAATTTTGTGGCTTTATTTCGGCAGCGTGCGGATTGATTTGGGATAATTATTTTGGATCTTCTACAACTCTGGTTCTGAAGATTTTGATTCATCTATTTGGTGAGGTCTTTCCTCTTGTTTATTTGTGATTATTTGGAATTCACCTAAGGGTGATTTTGTGAGACCATTAGTGTCTCGTTTGTAATCGTTTGGAAACTTATTTGGTTGATAGTGGAATCAGATTTCGATCCTGTGGACGTACTCATATTGAGGGAACCACATAAAATTCTTGTGTTGCTTTTGATTTAATTTTTTCGCATTAGTTTTTATTCTCATTGATTGATTTACTTGTGGGAATCACATATTTTCCCTAACAATATATAGATAGATATGTGTATACACACATAGATCTGTGTATACACATAGATCTGGCGGCGCCAGTGGGTGGAGGAGGAGGGGGCGGCGTCGGTGGGTGGCTCTCTCTCTCTGTGCCGGTGGGTGAATTTTTTTTTTTTTTTTGTTGATGATTGTTGGTTGTTGTTGACGATGATGTGTTGTTGTTGATGTAAATCCAGATCCACCACCACCACCAAAGTCTCTATTTTCCCTTTTTTGTAGTGGATCTGAGGTCTCTCTCTCTGCAACTATTAAGGGGATAAGAATGAGTGAAGATGAAGGAAAAAGAAATTTTTTTTTCCAAAACGACGTCATTTTGGAATTCGAGCCAGTCGGGCTAACTCCCTTTCGAGCTACCTAGCAGCGCTGAAAAATAGAATATAAGACAGAATACTCAAGGAGGTTCAGAAAATAGGCTATGTAATTATGAGAGACAAGGCCGTTATGTGCTCCCTTCGTGCAGTTTCTATTGCAAATGATTCCAAGATACAACCCAAAACTCACAAGAATCTAATGTAATGCATAGTTGCACTAGATAAACATATCAAGTTTGTATCGATTGCCCAGAAATATAGAATATAAAATACACATAAAAAATGAGAGGGAGAGAGAGTAAAATCTAAACACGTTTTATATGTATATTTTGCCTGAGTAAGAGTTCTCAATATATAGACTCTTTGATGACTGCTAGGAATAGACACCCATTCTTTATTGAAATCAAACACTGTTTAAATTTCAAATATATGTGACTGTTAGAAAAGATAAATAAATAAAAATAAAAATATAATAAAATACAATAAATCTACTATCTATCTATCTACTATCTACTCTATATTAAAAAGTACGAAGAGTTTTCTACTTTTTTTATTCCCAAAACACCCTGCCTTACTAATTGAAATTTATAGCCCCGTCAATTTGAAAAGGTAGCACACTGTATATTGAATTCTCCATAAAACCAACTCTTTTTTTTTTAAAAACCAAAGCAACTGCTTTTATTTGATTCTCCTTAAAAGAAACTGCTTGCCTTTGGCAAGGAAACTAATATCAAGGCCGTATTTCACATGATTCATTTAACCACCAAAAATAACTTACAAACAACCCAGCAAAATTAAAAGGTTAGGACAATGTCTCTCAGGCATTATTCTGAAATCAAAAGGTGCGAATAACACCACGAGTATATATTGGATTTTCATGAATTGGGTGCTAAAGCACTGATAAGAAAATTAATTGAAAGTCCAAGTTGTGGAGTACCAAGGTATGTCCAAGTCTCCAATGTTGTGTTTGGTTGAACAATTATATATTTGAAATGGTTGTTCAAGATGTACACTTTTGTTTGAAAAAAAATATGTATGTGCTATTTATGCAATAAAATTTTTGACTTATAGATTTTACAAACAAATCAAGGAAAAATGTTTGACTTATAGATTTTACAAACAATCGAAGAAAAATGGTCGCACTCGGTTCTGAAATCAAAAAATCAAGATAGAAACTCCGAATCAGTGTTCTGAAATTGAAAAAATGGGAACAACTGTTGGAAAATTTATAAAGAGGTAGTTGTGAATTGAAATAGACTCCATGTTGAATGAAAGGGTGTAACCTTTCATTGTGTCTTTTTGTTTTATAAAAAGGGTCAAACCTCCATTTGAATGAAAGGGTGCAAACCTTTCATGGTGTCTCTTTATTTTAAAGGAAGGGTTATGTCCCTTTTTCATACCTTCTCTATTCAATTTGAATAGGTGCCAACAAAGCCTATATATAGGCAGCCCCATTCCAATTTTGATTGATTCCGAAAATTCATTTTCCTTGCC